GTGTGCCTGGGCGCCCCGCCGGCCGAGTTGGCAGGCTTGATCGCCAGCGACGCGGGGCCCGCGGCGTCGAAGGCCCGACCTCGCCAGAGGAGGAGGGGCGCCTTCGGATTCGCCATGGGGGGAACGGATCCCGAGGGAAACGGGTCCTGATGCTTGTCACCGTTTTCGGGCTCTCGGGGCCCTCCACGGGCCCCAGGTCTGTCAGAACGATTCTGGATGAAGAATTGGTATTGGGGGAAGGCCCCAGGGACCAGGACCGTCTCCCTCAGGGCGCGCTTCCCCCATGCTGAAGCATAGATCGAGTGATCGAAGGATCGAGGAGTCCAAGAGATTCGATCCTGGATCGAGGTTCGTAGGCGTTTCGGGGCCTCTTCGTGCATCTGGGGCTTCCCGTCGCCACGCCCATATTCTCATCGAGACAGGTCGAGGATCGTGGGAGCGAAGGATCGAGGGCGTGGATATCCGACGACATGTTGTTTGTGCAACCCTGGTGCGTTTCCTTGATTTCGACCCCTGGGGCCGCTGTCGGGCTGGGGGCCATCAGACACTGATGAAAACTACCTCCGGGGAAGGGGTCGGGAACTCAGGGGCCACGCGTTGAAAACATCACATCGTCGGATGCCTGAGGATCGTGGTTCTTCAGCGTTTTTGGACCTCTTCGGGCCTCTGGCAAGCTTCCCGTCCCCACGGCCAGATCTCCTTCGAGATTCTAGCCAGAGAGCTCCCCGGGAGAGGTCCAGGGGTCGGCTCGTCCTCCTCCCCCGTCGGCGTCGCAGTCACGTTGGGTTCGTTTGGGCTCTCTTGGAGGTTCTCGCCGCCACGGCTGAGCGCGGCTCGAACATCCGCTCCCTGGGAATCGTCATCCCAGAGCCCCAGCGTCTTGCGAGAAGCCAAGCGGGGGCCTTCCGTTATCGTCAGCCTCCCGGAGGGGCCGCCCTTGGGTCTTGTTGTCGTTTAGCCGCGTGCACTTTTCTCGGCGAGGCCAGCGCAAGAAAACCTGGACCATCTCGGAACATTTTGGGCCATCTTGAGAACTACGCGCGCACGAAACCAGACGATGCCCGTGGGCTGGACGCCCGAGCGATGGCAAGCAAGTGCGCGTTCCATGCCGTGGAAGGCGCACCCATTCAGAATATTGGATGGATGATTTGTCCTCTTCCTCTTCTTCCTCCTCCTCTTCATCCTCCTCCTCCTCCTCCTCCTCTTCTTCCTCCTCCTCCTCCTCCTCCTCCTCCTCCCCCTCCTCCTCCTCGTCGTCCTCCTCCTCCTCCCCGTAGCCATTTTGGCTCAAACCATTTTGGCTCAAGTTATCCATTTCTCGAGGTGGTTTACAGCGAGTTTTCGCCCCCCCGCGGGCATGTTCGTCTACTTTCACTGGCTATTCGCTTTGCGGCGAGAAGCCCTCTACATCACGTTTTCCCTGTGGCTGTGGGGCACCCTTCTCGCGCTGGCAGTATGGCTCCCAAGCGGCGGGCCGTCCAGGCTGAGCCCTGGTACTGCAAGTGGTGCACCAACAAGCCCAGTGACACATCATGGATCAACAGGGCCGACCGCAAGATGTGCAGCCAATGTGGGATTCCCAAAGGTTCCGCGTACAAGGGGACCCCGCCTCCCAAGAACCCCGTCAAGCGTGCTGATGCCCTTGTCTCGGTTCGAGAGGAGGCCCTTGCCAAGCAAGTTGCTGATTTGCGGGGGCAGATGGCCAAGCTCGGGGTGTCGCCACCTACGCCTTCAGCTGAGCCGTCTCCGTGGTCCCAAACAGATGACAGCGACAATGCTCCGAAACGCGCTCGCCTTGCCAAGCTGGGTCGCATCCTTGCCGAACTGGACGACGAAGGTGACGCAGCGGGAAAAACTAAGTATCTGGCGGAGAAGGAGCGCATCACCAGTCAGTTGGCGGCCACCAAGCCCCAGGAGGCCAACGTGGCCAATCTCAACAACAGGTTGCGAACTACCAAGGCCAAGCTGTCGGGCCTCGCTACCAAGGAGCGCGCGGCCGAGGAGGCGGCGGTTGCCGCCCAGGCCACCCTAGAAGCGCTGCACAAAGAACGCGAAAATGCTCGAGCACACCACCGCAGATCTGGAGGAACGTCTTCGGCAGGCAGATTTAGCAGACACATCCCAGACGATCTTTGAGCGTCTGTTTTCCCAAGTTTCACAAGACCCGTGGATCGTCCATTGGACTACATTCGACAGAATGGCAACGTGCCGTTTTGATTGTACTCCCCCCGAACTCGACCAGATCCCAGTGGGTACTGTCTTTCAGTCGTACCCTGACGAAATGACGAAGCTGGTCTGCAGGTTGTACACAAATGCACCGGGGGAGACTCGACGTCCCGTCCGAACCCTTGAAAAGGGAGAGGTCGTGGGTCCCACTGTTGGCCCAGCCATTCGGCGGAAGACGATCTACGGGGACTTTGTGAGCGTCCCAGCCAGAGACACCAAGACAGAAGGTGCTCCCGTTTTGTGGATGAACATCTGGGGCCCTTCGCCACGCACGCCTCCCCGTGGCAAAGCCACTGGGGACGGTTGGGGCACGATATATGCCCTGCCTGTTGTCAAAGGTCTGTCTTACACGCCAGCGCATGTTGTTGAGGAGGCTCTCACCAAATCAGTCAGAGCAAATTATTGTGAGTCTTCCCCTCAGCAGGCCGTGCATTGGCGGAAGGCCGCACCTTCGTGGACGCGCCCATGCGACTTCGATGCGTGGCTCGCGAAGGATGGCCTTGAAGGCGTGCTGACTTGAATGAAAAGCAGCCCCCTCAGCCAGACGCAGAGACTGAGGCCAACCAGCACGACCCAGTCGTTGCTGGAGAAAGGCCAGCTCTGCCCGAGGATCCCGAACAGCGACGACCTGAGGCGCCCTCGGAAGGCCCTCCTGACTACAGAGAGGAGGGTCCTGACCGGGCGCCGAAAAGGCCACGCTTGGGAGTGGAGATGTCGACCGACTCAGTTGGTTCGGCAAGCCATCATGCGAACATTGCCATCGCACAGCCTTCGGCCCGATCTGGCCCACAAACGTCATTGGACAATCCTGGTGCTGGTCGGCAGGCGGCCGGCGGACCATCCGCTGGGTCAGCCTCGAATCCGACTGCCCCGCCCGGCCAAGCCGGTGGCGGGGCGGGCGGGGGCTCTCCTCCCGGCCCAGCCAGTGGTGGAGGTGCTCCGTCTGGCCCAGGTGGCTCTCCCGCGGGAAATGCTCCGCCTTCCGGCAACCCCTCTGGGGGCGGCGGCGGAGGTGGGCCCCCAGTCGCGGGGTCGACGATGGCAAGTGGCGAACGGGAGGACCCGCCCTACTTCGGGCGGGGCCCCTGGAACGCCCTGGATTATTATTGGGCGCCGGGAGAGTATGCTCCGAACCCCGAGCCACCGACGAATGACTGGGAATCTAAGGTGAATGAGATCCTTCGGCTTTATTTTGATATCACAGATCCCCAGTTGAAAACTGGGCACTAAAGTTGTCGTTCCTTCAGAAGTGCCAGGCCATAACACAGATTGCCCGACAGAATGGACACTCATGGATTCCATTTGTTGGCGAGGACGTTGCGGCCATGATGGCCACAGGCAAGTATGTTAAGGACTTGTTCCACCCTTTGTGCTTGATGGATCATGGGCAATACAAGTTTTGGTCTTGTTCCGTCCACATTGTCTTTGATTCCACGATCTCGCGTCGGAATGCGTCCAAGAAAGTCACGAACAGCCTGCTCCCTCAATACCATATGCAGGAACATGTGCACGGCATTTCACAGAATATCATGAGTGGATGCATGGCCCCTGAACTTCAGGAAGAGGCTAAGAGACTTAAATGGGATGAGCATACGTACTACCAGAAAAGGATCCACACGCCGATGCGTTTCATCTTCTGGAACTTCAATGGTATTGTTGATGGAACCGGCGAATTGAACGGAGTTGGCACAGGGGGAAAACGGCAAGAAAATCCCACATTATTCGCTGGAAACCACCGAATAATGGCTGAGGCGGCGGAGCGTCTGGTGGACGACGCAATCACTCGCGCAAAGGATGGAGCTATAGAGATCATGTACGTTGGTGGGGGCCACAAATGCTGGCGGTCGGACGGATATGGCGTAAGCCAGATGTGGGGCGATGTTGCCACTCTCGTCCGGGCTCGAATGAACCGTCGGATTGAAAGCTACAAAGCAATGGGAATTTCCCCGCGCATCATGATTCTTGACCGTGTGAGCCTTTATCGCAAGCTGCGGCACCCCCCAGGGGATTTCTACCACTTTTGGTCTGACCATAGTGACTACAAGAAGGATATGGACGGACAAATGGTGAGTGCAACAGCGGCCGAGTTGTGCGCTGAGCACATGATTAAGGCCGCTAAACTCGCCGCATTTTTCTTTTGCCAACCCTCCGGCGGCCCAGCCGTTCAGGGGGGTGGCACGACAAAGACGACAAGAACCCATAGGTATACATTGCAAGGGGCGGCCATTGATGAGTTAGTCATGTGCTGGCAAGAGTGGAGCCCCACAGAAGGCAATGTGCCCAAGTCTGTGCTCAATACTCGCCCGTTCAAAGTAGCCTTGGACCCCGTTGAGTTCCCAGCCGCCCAAGACGGGCCTGGGGGCGGGGCGATCCGTTCTTATTATTCTGATGCATTCATTGACTTTTTGAAGCGAGGGAGTGTGTATACAGACTTTTTCCCATGGCAAGATGATCATTACTTCTTGCCGCGTGGTCGGCCCTTTTGTCCGGGAATGCCCCCAGGGGGGAAACGCCTTCGATTGTCAACTGAAGGCGTGCAAAATGATGAACACATGCGCACGGCAGTTGATGAGTTGAAGAAGGCAGCACCTGCTACGGCACCGAGCGGCCTAGCCGCCTCGGGTGATGTTACTGCGCCGAGCGGCCCAGCCGCCTCGGGTGACGTTGCCGCACCGAGCGGCCCAGCCGCCTCGGGTTACGCTGCTGTCACGCGGGCGGCCCAGCCGCCCCGCGGACCCGTTCTGGCCCCTGCAAAGGGCGCACAGGATGTCAAGACACTTGGTGAAGCAGCGGAGGGAGCTCTCCGCATTAAATGCCCTGTCGGTCAGGGAACCACGCTCAGCCAA